TGACTTCCCTGAGCCTCCATTTCCTCATCTGTAGATTGGGCATGAGACAAGCCACGTAGGTGTGTTACGAAGGTGTGGTGAGAATATATCTCTCATGTGCTCAGCCAGGAGTTTGACCCCTTGTAAGCATTCAGTCAATAATGGGGGCTGTTATATTTTTGCTAACCTCCCCATTTGGGGGAGGGAGGTCTTCCTCATGTCGTTTCATTTCTTTGATGTCCTTCGCAGTCGACAGGGAGGGAGACAGGGCCAATAGACTCATGTGGCAGATGGGGAAACTGAGGCCCAGAGAGAGCAGGGAGCTTCTCCAAGGGAACTCAGCCTAGATCCCAGGGGGACCCTCGAACATCTGGGAACTTGCCCACGTGGCTCATCAGGTTTGAGTCTGCTGGCCCATGGGGAGGTTCTGACCCAAGGCTGTCCCTTCCTGTGCAGGGGAGCTGGTGGGCCTACGGCAACAGATGACAACTACAGAGGAGAAGGTGGCTCTGGACAAGGAGCTGATGGCCCAGAAGCTGGTGCAGGCTGAGCGGGAGGCCCAGGCCTCTCTGCGGGAGCAGCGGGCCGCCCATGAGGAGGACTTGCAACGACTCCAGCGAGAGAAGGTTCGGGCAGCTGGTTGGGGCAGGCGGGGCTCTGAACCGGTGTCTCCTCTGTGACCTCAGGCAACTCACCCTTCTCACTCTGCATCAGTCTCCAAATCTGTGAAACGGAACCTCATCCCTGTCCCAGGGGCCCTGAGGGCACCTGTGAGGATCCACTGGGGATGCCTTATCAAACATGCAGATTCCCAGGCCCCAAATCTGGTTCAGCCCTGGTGATCCTGATGCAGGGGTTCCAAGCCACATTTGGGAAACGCTGATCTAATGTATAGTAGGAAAGCACTTTTTTTTTTTTAAGTTTATTTATTTATTTTGAGAGAGAGAGAGAGCGTGTGTGCAAGTGGGGGAGGGGCAGAGAGAGAGAAGAGAGAAGATCTCAAGCAGGCTCTGCACCATCAGTGCAGAACCTGATGCGGAGCTTGAACTCACTCACGAACCAACCTTGAGATCATGACCTGAGCTGATGTCAGACGCTTAACGCTTAACAAACACTTTCATTTGCTAAGAAGTGCTGTTTGCATACGAAAGACCTCTCTGGGACCTGAGCACTTAGGCAAAGAGCCAGGTCACCAGAAGACCCAACAGAGCTATCTAAGAGCACTGGTTCTAGAGTTTCTTTGCCTGGGTTTGGACCTGATCTTGGTCATATATTGGTTAGGTTGCCTACGGCCTCAGTGCCTGTAACGATGGGGATAATGATAGTATAGAGTATTGTGAAGGTGAGGTGAGATAATCCATAAAAAGGGTTTGGAATAATGACTGGCACTTCATAAGTGCTCCATAAACGCTGATTGTTATTACTATGGCCCTAAGATACTGTCCAGAGCCCCGTGTTGGACAGGGCTGCGTCTCTCAGCAGTTTAGGCTGTTGCTTTATGACTCCAGGGGCCACCACATCGTGCCTCGAGTCAGTCGTCTTAGATTTGGGTGGATAGTATTTCCCTTCTCCAGCAGGGGGCAGCAAAGATTTGAAGAAGGGGCACCTGGGCCTACTTCTCGCAAGGTCGCTAGGGCCTACTGCTGGGGCCAAGTACCCGCCTGGGACCACCAGGGAGCCGTTCTTTCTTTGCCTGTGGGTTCTACCTACTCACCCATCCACCCGGTCCCCAGGGCGCCAGACTCCTGTGTCCTCTCCGACTCCTCCTGTGCCTTCTGGCTTGGCCTCTTAACATCACCGAATCTGTTCTCTTCTGTCGGGCTGCTCTGCCATCCCCAGACCCCCTTTGCTCCCCACAGCCCACCCCGCCCCTCACTACCTCAGCCCTGATCCCCGTCCCTCTTCCACAGCTTCCAAACCGCCCCTCGATCCAGCTCATCCCTAGCTTGCCCCGACTCTTCTCAGAATCAGCCTACCCCTCTCTACAGCCCACAGGGCCTGGTCTGGCCTGGCCGCTGCCCATGGCTCTGATGCATGTCCCCCTCGTAGTTCAAGCTCCAGTGACCTTAGATACAGTGTGTCGGGTTTTCTCTTTCCTCCGGGCCCGGGGCTGGCCTCTGGGTTTGGGATTCTGTTTCTCTCTTGACCTGACGGACTGCGGCTCATCTGTTCTTTGGGAAGTGTTCTCTGGCCCCCGGGCCAGGCTCCTGCCGCTCCCTGGGGCGCACACAGCCCCGGCGTGACCCCGTCACAGCCCTTACCATTCACCCCACCTTGTAGTTGCCTGGTGGCCTGCCCCGCCGCTCAGGTTCTGGGCTACAAGTGGCTCTCACTGGCCTGAGGTCGGTGAGGGGCCGCCTGAGTCCAGCCTTGCGGGTCACACGTGCCCGGGGCCTGGCCTGCAGGAGGCAGCGTGGCGGGAGCTGGAGGCCGAGCGGGCCCAGCTGCAGGGTCAGATGCACCGGGAGCGAGAGGAGCTGTTGGCACGGCTGGAGGCAGAGAAGGAAGAGCTGAGCGAGGAGATCGCCGCCCTGCAGCAGGAGCGTGACGAGGGCCTCCTCCTGGCCGAGAGCGAGAAGCAGCAGGTTCGTGAGCCCCGGGGTGGCCTCCGCTGCTGCCCCAGGGGCCCTGTTCTCCCGGGGCTGGTCCCTGTTCAGCCGCTCAGGAGCTGGGAGCTAGGAGTCCCTCTCTGGGTCTCAGTTTCCTCACCTGCAGGACGGGGGGACTTCAGGGGTGTGTGTGAAGCATTGCTGAGACCACGTTCAGTGAGCCGTGCCTGGGAACTCCCGGAGCGGCTGTCACATTCGTGGCACTGTGAGCACTGGGTCCCAGAAAGCTGACCCACAGCCTGCCATCCCTTCTGCCACTCCAGGCTGGCCATGGTGTCCCCGGGGCTGCCTTCTGAGAAGTCCCTGCGTTGCCCACGTGTAGCAGCTGAACCCTCCTCAAAAGAGCTAACTCCTGACTTTCCCATACCGTAAAGGAGACAGGCCTGTCCTTACTGGCTGTGTCACTCTGAGCAAGCCACTCTGCCTCTTTGAGTCCGTTTCCTCATCTGTAAAAGGGGAATGAATAATGAAGGGCCAGGATTACCGTGGGAAGTTGGCAGGATTTCTAAGTTGTGTCCACGTCCAGACTTGCTGTTCTGGTGGTTGTGCCCTTTTCGGGGGCTACGGAGGCACCGCTGCCCCGGGTCCACCTGTGGTGACCCAGACAAGGCACCGAGCTGAGCGAGGGCACATTTCCCAGGGCAGGGTGGGGGAAGGGCCCAAGCGTGCCCCCATGACCAGCCGAGCCCCCAAGCCCTTTGCTCCCCGCCTCTGCCCAGGCCCTGTCCCTGAAGGAATCCGAGAAGACGGCGCTGTCGGAGAAGCTGATGGGTACACAGCACAGCCTGGCCGCCGTCTCCCTGGATTTGGAGCGGCACAAGAGAGACGCCCAGAGCCGGCAGGAGCAGGACCGGGTAGGGCAGGCCAGGCAGGTGGGCCTCCATCCGAGCCAGGAGGCACGACCCTGCTTGGAGGGGCCCCCTCTCCCAGGCTGTGGGGGGAGCTTCAGCCCCTCCGTGGGGTCCCCCATGAGAGGGAGGTGGCACAGCTCTGCCCTGTGAATCCTAGTCTGAGGGAGAGAGCGGCTGTGGGCACAGCACTCACTGGGCATCAAGGGATCAGCAGACGGTGTGGCAGGCCCGCGGGAAGGGCCGCGTTTGGAGCCGACCCTCCTGGAAACAGCCGGGGGAGGGGGATGGGAGCACCAAGTCTGAGGAGTCCTGTCTGTCCTAGAGCACTGTGAACGCACTGACGTCCGAGCTGCGGGACCTACGGGCCCAGCTTGAGGAGGCTGCTGCAGCCCACGCCCAGGAGGCCAAGAGGCTGCAAGAACAGGCCCGAAACCTGGACAGGCAGCGGGAGTCCTCCATGCGCGAGGTGAGCCGTTCTGGGCAGCACACCCTAAATGCCGCGGGGGGCCTGGCCCACTAGAGGCCCAGAAGAGTGTGTAAGGTTTGTCCCTGCATTTGGGAACGAGCGAACAGCCAATGTAGAAAAGAGGCGGCAAGCCTTTGTTAAGCGCTCGTTGTCTCTGTCTGGGACTCGGCACTGGCGGGGTCCCTGCCCTCTTGGTGTCCCTTCATAGAAAGATCCTGGTGGCTGATTATTTCAGGCCCAGACACCACTAACTCCAGCACGCTCTGCCCCCGAATCAGAACTCACACCTGTGGTCTGAGTCGCTGCAGAGCCGCTGGGCAGGTGCCTGTGGCCGGGGATACAGGTGCGGGCTGGCTTCTGCCAAGTGCCGGCTCCGGCAGAGCCCGTACCCTGTCCCGTGACAACCTGCCACCCTCGCAGGCAGAGGAGCTTCGGACTCAGCTGCGCCTGCTGGAGGACGCCCGTGACGGGTTGCGGCGGGAGCTGCTGGAGGCCCAGCGC